CCCCCCCCCCCCCCCCCCCGGGGACACCTGGGCGCGCTCGGCCGGGGAGCGCGCGCGGGACCGGAGCGCACGCCCCCGGGGGCTTGCGCGCCGCTCGAGCTGGGCGTGTCTGCGGCCCGAGGGCAGCGGGCAGGGTGCGGAGAGCGAGCCGGGCGCCCCTAGGCTGTGTTAGTGCCCAAGATAGGCCAGCCACTTCTTTGGGAAGTCATGCTGTCTGTCTCTCCAACTAATTTCTCTAGGTCTCAACCCCTCTCTCTTTCTCTTTCAACTTCTCTCTCTCTCTCTCCCTCTCTCTCTCCCCTTCCCTCCCCCCAATCTGAAAACTTAGACACCCAGAAGAGTAAGTTCTATTTAACAGAGTCACACAGACCTGTTGATTAATATCCAGAAAAAGAAGCCAAGCAAATAAAATTGCAAAATACAAGCGGTCACCTACATTTGCCTGTAAAACGTAGTTTTCATAGTTAGCTACATTTACTTGTAAAGTGTATGTGTGTGTGTGTGTGTGTGTGTGTGTGTGTGTGAGAGATTTCTCCCAAAGCAGCCGTTGAGTTTACATAGATCTCAATAGTAGTGAGAAAGGAACCAATGATTAATTGCTTTGAATTGTTACTACTTTGTTATGGCTCTCATTTCTTCAAATTTCTTATATTTTGTCTAAATGTAGTTACTGGGAAAAGTAAAGGACTCCTCCCTCCCTGTCCTTGCAATTACATAGATTCCAGCGATGGGGATAAAGGAACTGGGAATGAAGTCCCAAGAGTTCATTACCTGCTTATTGTAGGGACAGAGGGGTTGCTGGTAAGAAACCTTTCCTCTGCCAGATCGGAGGAGGTGACTTTTCTGTAGGCGTCGTGCCCATCAAAGACCAGGCCAAGCTGGCGATTCTCTGCTCGTAGCACCATATGTTCAGCTTAGACCAGGCACTGTGATTGAAAGACTGTTTTGTCTCCTAAAGCACCTGAGGACTAACCTGGATTTATTGTTGATATTTTTTCCCTCTTATGAAAGTATTTGGTAATTGTGTCACTCTCGTAACAGATGCTCTGATCATATGTTTCCTTTCTTGACACAAATAGATGACTGCATGATAAATAGGATAAAAGGAAAGAAGGAACTTGTTGCATTTAAGAGGCAGGTGTCCAAGGGCTTCTTTAATTCAGCCCAGTAATTGCTAGTGTGGACTGGCCTGCTGTAACAGAATGCGGGCTGGAATTCAGCTGCCCCCGAATTGCGCTAGCTGTGTGTACTGAGATGAAAAGGTTTTCTCTCACACACCCCTCTCTCTCTAATAGAATTTTGGAGGTAGATGATCATAAATGGCAACCCCATAGCAGAACCAAAATCTCCAGATGTAAGGACTCAGGTTTGGCGGTGTGGATGGCAGAAGTGACTCGGAGATGTGTGTGGAAACTTTGTGTATATGTTTGGAAACTTTGTTTTACAAATTTGTGCAAAAGTTACTAAATCCCGCAAGGAGTGGAGAACCTGCTGCAGAGCTTGTACAAGACTGAGCCCTGCGTGGCCCTCAGTCACAGGGGGAGGAGCCTGAGTCCCTGAGAGCCCTGCCATTGCTAATGGCCATTTCATTTCCCGTGCAGACCTGGGGGAGGAAACCCAAGAGCGTAGCCTGCGGTTCTTTCTCCTACTGCATGTATATCCTAAACATGTGCTTGTTCTGCTTAATGGTTAAAACGGGGAGTATGGGTTCGTTGGAGAGTTTGGGGGAGTGTGAATGGGGCAGAAGGAAAGTCTAACTGCTCTGTATGTCACTAGAGTTAGACAGAGGTTTTAAAAGTAAGTATGTTGTGAAAATCGCTTGCTTGCTATAAAAGCCTGAATGAGTGTTTCTAGGATCTGATGTGGGGTGTGTGTATGTGTGTGTTCAGGGGTCCGGAGGTGCTGGCCACAAAGAGGGAAAAAGTTCCTGGGATCAGCACAGTCCCCTGTGACTTAGCTTTTCCTCTGCATTTCCATCTGTCCCTCAGATGTCCTGACCGTATTTCATTTTTGCTACCTGGCAGGGGAGGGTGGGAATCAATGTGCCATTGATGATTCCTCATTTTAGAGCTACAGTGAACACGTTTGATGTTCGAATTATTTTGTTTAAAATTCATGCTTTTAAATATTCATTTAAGGATTTTCTCATGCACATTACTGCTGGTGGTTTTTGAGTTTAAAATTACTCCATAACTCTGCATAAATACTTGAGTGGTATAAGATCATCGTCCCCATTTAGGAATTAGAAATCATGGCCCAGAAAATGTATGAGGACAGACTCCAGTATTTGCAAGAGATCAGGGCTCTTGGAGCCTTCGGACCCCATAGCTAAGTCTGTGTGCTCTGTACCATACCAGGCATCGTGAAGTTTGGATCCACCTGGTTTGCTAATTGAAAGCATGATTAAAGTCAAAACTGACAAACAGCTTTTAGATTTTCAGGGTGTTGATTTTGGAGATTTGTCACTGAGAACTAGGAAGTAAAATTATGGGATAGGTAGTGATTTTCACTACTGAATGACTTAATTCACTCAATGATTATTAGGTACCTCTTACCTACTGGCCCTGATTGAGGCCCTGGGATCCCGCAGTGATCAATATCAACCAAAATCCCTGGCCTCCTTTCAAATGGAGAAGACAGAAAATCAGCAAGGAAAATAGTTTAGGTAAGAGTGGCCAGGGAACACTCTAATTCAAAAGTGACTTTTGAGTCCATCGCGAAGGAGGTGAGGGAGCTGGCCGTATTGATACCCAGGGAAACTGCATCCTGAAAAGAAAGAGTAGCAAGTTCCAACTCTGGTAAGTGGGGGTGTGTCTGATATGTTTGAAGAACAGCAGGAAGTTGGGTGGGGGCAGATCAGAGAGAAGGGGGGCAAAGAAATGGCACGAGATCAGCAGAGTGAGCAGCCGGGTCAGGGCGAAAGGTGAGGTTAGGGAGAGCCTTGTCAGCCTCGATGAGGACTTGAGGATGCCGGAGCCGCCGAGAGTTCGAGCCAAGGAGTGACACAAGCTGACTTAGTTTGTAGCCGGGTCTCTTTGGCTGCGGTGTGGACAATATGTTGAAAGGGGTCAAGAACAAAAGCCAGAATGGGAGGTTATTGCAGTAATCTAAGCAGAAGAGGATAGCTTGAGCCAGATGGTGGCGGTGGAGGTTATGAAAAGCAGTGTAATCTGGATGCATATATATGGTGGAGTTGACCAGATTATCTCACAGAGTAGGTGGTGATGGTAGATGAGAGAAGACTCAGGGAGCCCCAACAGCCAGAAGAACGGAGTCCCCATGGACTGAGGTGGGGCCAGGTGCAGAGAGGTCTAGTTGGGATTGAGGCAGTGCTAGTGAATATTAAGATCTTGGTTTTGAACATGTGGTGTCTGTCAGCATCAAAATGCACATGTAACTCAGACCATTGGATCTGTAGTTCAGAGTTCAGGGGAGAAGCCCCTGAATGAGGGAGACAGAAGCAGGTGGATGATATTAAGACCATGAATCTAGAAAATACTACCTAGGAATTAAGTGTAGAGAGAAGAGGTCTAAGGGCTGAATGCTAACTACCCCCTCCCCCACAGGTGTAAATGTTTGGGACTTGAGAAGAAGCCAGCAAAATAGAGAACCTCAAGTGTAGGTCAGTGTGGTTTCTTAGAAGCCCATAAAAGAGCATGTCTCAAGGTGAGAAGATCAGTAAACTATGTCCAGTGCGATTAAGAAGTCAAGACGCAGGAAGGCTGTTTGATGATATTGGTGGACCAGTTGCAGTGCAGGGTGGTGGTGAAACCTTACTGGACACAGGAGATGGTCCACAAAACAACTAGAGGAAGAAAGCTGGAGACTAAAAATGTGCAGAACCTTTACAGGGAGTTTTTCTTGCTTTGCTACAATCACTTCCAGAGATTCAAAGTTCTGTCTGAGGATTTCAAGGCACCAGTGGTAGTGGGCGCTTGGTAGAGAACACAGCTTCCACATTTTCCTCTGGATCTTCCCAGTGGCCAAACTTTGAAAAAGTCTGGCCAGAAATCTCAGAGTTCCAGCTCTCTGGGAAACCACCGTGATTCAGATCAAACCTAGGAAAGTATGATTTCTCAGGTGTTAGGTCATCAGGATCAAAAGACCTCTTAGAACATTTTATTTCTCTCCACTCCTCATCCTCCTCCTTCTCGAAATCTCTTCTGATGATATAGCAGTGCCTGAATGGAAACCCAGCTCTGCCTTGTGGGAGATCCCTAACGTTAGGTATATTACACACCTTATTCAAATTGTTCTCTTATCCAGGGGATCACAAAGTATCTGCCTATCTTTATAATTTCAGACATAAATAAGATAATGTGTATAAAGTACTAGCACATTTCCTGGCTCAGTAAAAGTTAACTTGTATTATTTAATAATACCTACCATACGAACGTGGATATGTAAGGAAGAAGTCATTTGCTTTTGCCTCGGACACAAACATGCCAGTTTCTGTGTGGGCCATGCGAAGATGAGTGAGAGATACCTTTTGCCCCCAAGAGACCCAGCCTCGGAACAGATACATGAATGGGCAGTTTTAGACCCCACACTGGGATAAGATAGATTTCCGTTACTGTGGGAACACACTGCGGGGGCATCTTACAGTGGGTGTTCGATGTCTGCCATCGATGTGTCCTTGATGTGGTGTCTCCAGAGCCAAGTGGTGTGAGTGGAAGTGCTGAGGAATGGTAGCTGGGACAAAGTCCAAGAAGAGAGGAGGTGGGGAGCGTGCTGGGTAGGGACTGCAGCGGGTCTGGGTTTCTGGAGGGAGAAACGGATGGGCCCGGTGGTGAGAATAGGGGAGCAGGAGAGGAGTAGTAAGAGCTGTGTGACCTCATCCTCCCAGCGGACAGCTGATATGATCGTATTTGCACAGTAAAAAGTCCATTCCTCGGGGCGCCTGGATGGCTCAGTTGGTTACGTGACCGACTTTGGCTCAGATCATGATCTCACAGTTTGTGGGTTCGAGCCCCGCGTCAGGCTCTGTACTGGCAGCTCAGAGCCTGGAGCCTGTTTCCAGATTCTGTGTCTCCCTCACTCTCTGTCCCTCCTCCACTCATGCTCATGCACTTTCTCTCTCTCAAAATAAATATAAATAAACATTAAAAAGAGAAGAAAAAACAGGCAGGGAAATACAGCAAGGCATCGGAATAGCCCTCCCAGATCTAGTTATTGAAACCTCCCCCAACACACACGTACATACTTGTTGTACAAATGTGATTGTTCAAAAATTATCACTAATAAATAGTAGAGGAAGAAGGCTAAATAAATAGAATAACTAGTTCTTGCACTTTTCTCTTGATAGATAGGTGGCTTAATTTTCTTTTTTATAGTTTAAAAGTTAAATTTATTCATTTGGTGCATGATGAATAAAATTATGTTAAAAAAAAAAACCCACCCTGCAACATAAAGCATTTGCTATATGCTGGGCTCTGTGCCAGACATTTCGCAAACTGTATCTCATGTAGTTTCCAACAACTTGAGGAGGTAGGTGTGATTTTTGCCACATTCTACAGATTTGGAAACTGAGGCTACTCAATGGTCAGTTCCTTGCCCAGAGTTACTTGGCTGGAGGTGACAGGGATAGGATTTGAACCTCGATCACTTTGAGTCTGGCTTCTCTGTACTCTTAAATATACATAATAAGGAATAGAGGCAGTATATTTTTGTTGTTGAAGAAAAACACCAGAAATAGAGAGATACAGTGTATGTTTTTTAGCTTATTTAAATAACTAGTGATTTTGAAGAAAGCAAAAGCATCTCAAAAATGTGTCAATATCTTATTGAATACAACTCAACCAGCATCCATTTTTATCCACTTTTGTAAAGAAAACAGCATGATCCGTTCATTTTCTGGGTTAGAGCAAAATTAATCCTAGGAATCTGAGTTGTAAATATGTATTAAAGTTAAGTCAAACATTAGAAGCTTATTTTGAGGTAAAAATGGAATGAATTAAATGTAGGTTCTTAACCAATGATTACCATACAAATTGGCCTAATATGGACAGGATATTTGGTCAAAGTATCCACCTTTTTACCTCTGCCTTGCACACATAAAACTCAGTATTTAGAATGTATCACATACTGTAAATCTCGAATTCTGCATACTGGGTGATTTCAATTCCATTCTTTGACTTGCTAATGTTCCAGGTGCACCTGCTATAAAAAAGAAAAGGGGGGAAAAAAGCCTAATCGCATATAAAAGCTTTGCAATTTCCACTGTCAGGTTCTCAGAGGAAACATGAACTGTACTCAAATAATGAGTGAGTTCGTTTAACACCCAACGCTTGGGATGTGGTCACGATCCAACGTGATATCTTGCTGCCCCTCCTCCTTTAAACTGCATTTCCCGAA